CACACACACACACACACACACACACACACACACCTGTTTCTTGTTATCATTTCACCCAGGTGTCTCCACTCCTCGTATCAGCCTCTGCCCATAAAGTCCCTCAGCTTTTTCTTCTCATCAGTCTGACATTGTGCATTCTTCATACCATGTCTGGTTCTCCTCTAATGTTTCCTCAAGTTTTTTTTATTTTATTTTGTAATTTTTGCTGCAGTTTAATTTTAATTTTAATCCAGGTCTTTGTGTCAGTCTGCATTCTTGGGTCCTACAATCAAGGACATGTTGYTTTTCTTTTGACTGCTCCTTTCTTCAGGTGAGCAAACTCACATTAAAAGYTTGTTAACTATTGTTCAGTATTATAAGACTGTGGCGCTGACCACTGAGCTTCTGCAGCCCCCAACAGTAACACAATGCAAACTTTCTTCACTTGTTACTTGCGCTGAGATCAGGGTTGGCAGAGTCAGAAATTCCACAYGAACATCAGTGAGAACACAAACCATAACTTACAAAGGGTTTTATGGTGATGAACCATAACCCCAGTGTGGCAACCTTTAAAAAAGTTAAGACGTACTTTAAAATAGATCAAAAAGACATTTTATAAAAAGATTAAACAGATTTAAAGTGATCAAAACAACACTTTCTGATGTTTGTGAACGTGATTAATGACATCTGTTATGAAGTCTGTTAATCAAGTATAAAAGCAAACAGCWAGCACTTTTATTTTATAGTTTTGTATTGTGAACACTATATAGGATGTATTTTTGCGATGGAGGAACTTTACAGTAAGTGGGATTATTCGTTCATCTGTTTTCTTTACCTGCATCTCCTTTCTGGGTCACAGGAAGCTRGTTCCAAGCAGTCACTGTGTGAGAGGGGACACCCTGGACAGGCCCAAGTCCATTACACACAGAGACAAACGATCATTCCCACTGTCAGAGTTACCAATTAACCTAACATGTCTTTTTTTTTTATCCGTGGGAGAATAACTGAGTAGCTGGAGAAAACCCACATGTGTAACACAGAGTGTCTGACTCATTCATGCACGTTTGAGAAATCCTTGAATCTCCTGTGGTACAGCTGCCTAAACATTGCAGGTACAAAGCACCGCCTATTTGTACAAAGCTCCTCCCTGGAGCTCAGTCTCCACCCGAGCTCCTGCCCCACAGAGCAGCATTGTTGTAAGGATGTGCTGAAGTGGCAGTGCGCTGAAGTGGTAGGAGGTTCTTAAAGACACAGAATCTAATTTCAAAGTGTTTAGAAAGGCTATGATGCAAAGTCAAATTTATTTTTGATATATACAGCAACTGAAGGCAACATAATTACTTGATTGTGATGGAGACTTGAATATGTGCCTGAAAAATACATAATACCCCCCACCCCCCCTTTGACTTTTACAGCATTAATAAATTTCAGCTAAACAAAACTTGGGCCAATTTAACTCAGTTATTGTTTTTCCCCTTCAGGACAAACCATRACATCCACAGAACACCTAAAAGTAAAATTAGAGGCTGAGTCTTGAGTCTTGGTGAAACCAGCTCTTAGACTGGATTGAATTCCCTCCAAATCAGAGCTTAAAAACTTTTCTTAGGTGACCTTGATCTCCCAGCTGATCAGACACATGGTCTCTCAGGGGTCTGCAACCTTTGTGATCAAAACAACCATTTCTGCTCCTCGTCTCACTAATAAAATGTGTCCGGAGACGAAAACTGTGATTATCAACTGGTGAACCATGGGCCTTTTCAAGGTCCTTTTGGGAACCTTTACGGTCAGTGGAGGTGACATAATAAAACTAATTTTTTAAATTATTTTATTATTTATTATTATACAGATCAGGACAAATAAAAATGCCATATTCACATAAACAAGAAAAATACTGTACATAGTTTATACCAAATTTSATAAAAATTACTACAAGTGAATTATTCAGGCATAATTTTTCCTTATTATTATTTTATGTAGTCTTCAAATTATTTAAAGGTAACTGATGGATTTGAGAGAAAGATCACAGAAATACACTGGGATATTTAAGTAAAAAACAAACTAACATGAGCTAACATGCTTTACTTTTTTGTAGTTGATCACATATATGCATACAAATGGATATCTGTTGTGGGTATAAACACCAAAAGAAATGTTATTTTGTTGTTTCTGGTCACATTTTCAAAAAGCCACTGCAGAGGTACCAAAGAGCCACATGTGGCCCCAGAGCCGCAGGTTGCAAACCCCTGGTCTATATGAACAATTCTCCACAAATTAGAAATTTGATATAATTCCTTGGCTTCTTAACCTTGGATTTTTAAAAAATCTACCATTATAATATTATTATGCCTAACTGAGCTGTATTGCTTCATTTGGTTTAAAGTGGTCTGATTTTTTTTCTAAATTCTGTGCCCTGAGATGATTCTTGTTGCAATAGGAAACATTCGCAAGGCCATGAATAACTCGGAGGCCACAAAGTATCTCAAATGATTTAGTTTTTCTTTACTTAACTTTAAGTCACTTTCCTGCTCTGCAAGAAGCCAGCTAATCTGCTCAGAACCAGTTCTAAAAACAAGAAGTGTGAAATGTGAGTTTAATGGAGTTTATTAAGAAAAGACCAACTGCTTTAGCTTCATATAGGCGGTATTATGCTTCGGTTTGAAGCAAAAATGAACTGGCCCAGCATGGATSGAGGAGATTTTCACATGATAGCAGCCGCGCACACATGAACACCCACACATGCTTAGATTTRTGAAAGAGCTGTGATTGAAGCTGCCGGCTAAATTAAGAGGAAAAGAGAGATTAGAGGCTTAAAGGAAATGGAGCCAAGGCTGTTGCTCTCATTTGGATGTTTGAAATTAGGCTGAATAAATCTAGGTGCTGCAACTTCTGAGAGAATCAGTCCCACCGGTTTTATGCAAATCGGCCTTGGCGTTCACACAATAATCAGATGATGTGCTGCTCTGTTTGAGGCTGTAATGTGAGTTGAGTTTGTGGCTCAACTCACAACTTTTTCTCAATGCCTTTGAAAAGTTGCCTTTCTTCCCTCAAAGGAGGGAAGAAAGGCATTTTTGTTGTTAAAATGGGTCTGATTTTGAATTTGGTGAGGTCAGGGGTCTGGGCCCTGGTGAAGCAAGACTCTCTGCTGCTCAATCATGCTACCTGTCAGAGGAGATTATTTGTCTTCTCTCATCCATCAGTCTTTCTTCTAAAATCACCCATAAGGGTTTTCTGAGGGTGGAAAAAGCCAGACTTGAAGCCCCAGTTTGACAGTTAGGAGATTAACAGAATTAGCATAAAATAAAATAAAAGTAAAAAAATGAAAATATGAGGGCATTGTCTGCATATGCCGCTTTGCCCTCAGAGTATCCTCCTCCTCCTCCTCCTCCTCCTGGATTTCCCACCCAGGACCACCCCCCCTCCTTCCCTCACTCCCTTCCCACACGCAGGAGGCTTCATCAACCAATAGCAGTGGCCCATTTTTTTCCTTTTTTTTAATCAAACTATCCCTTCAGAGCCAATCCCCGCCGTCCCAGTGATCCCTGTAAACCGGATGCCCTCCTGTCTGTCCCCTCAGACGCACGCAATCCGTGGATCGGGGAGGCAGGAAGGCGCGCCGTCGGTGCGGAGCTGCGGGGCTCGGACGGAGGGTGATGGGAGTGAAAAGCAGCTTCTGGTCCAAACCCGAAAAATGATATTAATAATAATTAATAAAGAAAAGAAAAGAGCTGCGTGAAAACACCTCGACTGGACCGTGAACCCGGCTGTTTTCGACATGAAGAGAGGATGGAGAGGACGGAGTCTTGTAAGTATGGCATCGTGTTTTAAGCATCAAGTGCAGGCAGAGAAAACTGATTAGTTTCGGTACTGCTGTAGTTCAGGAGGAGATTTTGCTGTTTATATTCATTTTCAAACCAAAGACAGAGGTAAGTTTGATGGTTAAGGTGGGTTTCACCCTCTCGTGCGCGCTTGAACTTTTAAAAGGTTTTCCAAGACGCACCACACTTTGGTAGCCTAAAGTTTCATTTAGCGTCCTGATCCGGGGTTGTGTAAGCGAATGGTGGATCTCCAGACAAATTTTTTGATTCACCTCTCTCAGCAGACAGCGTCCTTCCGCGCGGAGGACTGAAAATAAAAATGGTGGCTCTAATTATTATTATTTTTTTTACCCGTTGAACAATGCGCACCGGCTTTGTGTGCACCATCTGTCATTGTATCGATATTCCCGCAACCTTTCTGCCTTTAAAGACACCTGAAGAGTAGAAAAGAGAGAGAGAGAAAGAAGAGATCTCGCCTCTTCTCCCACCTCGAGCTCCCGGACTCCTGATCCGCCCGCGTGGATCGGTGCGTAACGCGGCGCCGGCGAAAAGGAGCGAGTCGCCACTGGTGGAGCCAACTGGTATGGATTAAAAAAAACATTACGAGATAAAGAAGAGATGAAACCCAATTATGTTGTGTTTRAAAAAACAAACAATTGGGGCAGGTAGATTAGAAGCATGGGTTGAATTTGTTTGACTTCCTCCCGGATTCTGGAGCCTTCGGCACATGGCGAAAAAACAGCCAGACTGCCATTTTCAGGGTGGGCACTCTGAAAGGATGCACACACACACACACACACACACACACACACACACACACACACACACACACACACACACACACACACACACACA